AACTTGAGCAAGTGCACCCAGCTCTCGGCAGCGGCAAAAGAAATCGTATAGTTGATCATCCTCAAGCATGAAGACGCCAGGATAGGCCAAGAAAGATTTGAAAGAATTAATTCCCTTCTCCTTCGTCAATACTTCCATCTCATTTGAAAGTTTTTCATCGAAGTGCGGGACAATGACGTGTAAAGCATAGTCACAGCAAACTTTCGAATCCGCATTTTGCCGATATTGTTCGTACGTCTCGAGGAGAGAGGCGCCACGTGCGGGGCATACGAAATCGACTATAAGTGGGAGATAAGATTTATCGGATGCCTACTTATCATGGTTGTGCCACCAGCTAATGCCGCTTTAGTACCAGAATAAAAGTCATCCGCAGAGTGTGTGCCCATAAAGGGCATTTCCATGTGAGTATGGGCATCGATTCCGCCTGGAATTACAAGTTTTCCTCTGACGTCTACGGTTCTGACGCCACCAGGAATGCTTAAATTTGTCCCAACCTGCCTAGAAAGAATTAAATAAAACTATAAACTGAGGATACTTGATAACACCATCCTCTATGTAGACATCAGCGACAAATTTGCGGTCATCGTTCACAATTGTGCCCCCTTTAAGATGAAGACGAGTCTGAGCACTCTAAGAACAATTATGGATAACCTTCCATTTTTCTACCTGCAAATGAAGCGGCAACTTTCCAGCACCAACACTGACTTTGGACGAATTCATCAGCGGACCACGAACAGAACAGCAATAAATGCAACGAACGATTGACCACGAAGAGACTGAGTTGTGCGGCTATTTAAAAGTTTAGCTAAAGTCCGAGTTCAGATTAGTCGTTTCAGTTGGTATGAAGGGATCTTCCAAATGCTTAATATATTAATGCCCCGTTTGACATACAAGCTTTTTAAAACCTGCAAAATTGTGGGTGACTTCAAGAACGACGTAGGATAACGAACTTGTATAATTAAGGTAGGAATATGTAAATTGTTGGAACAGAGGGAACATCAAAGATTGGAATTAAATAGCTAAAAAACAAACAAAGTGAATAAAAAACAGATTTGCTGACCCAGAACGAAGAAAATAGCAATTACGGAAAATCCGGAGAGTAGCTGGGTGGATAGAAATCTCAAATCAATCAGCCACTGGTTCAGGGATCTCATAAACAGCTGGACACGAGGCGATTCTATTAGAATCAACAACCACTGAATATATCGTCTCTTTTGTCGTGTAAGCCATTGCGCCCAAAACTGAAGCTAAGCACTTGAACCTACAGCAAAATCTAGAAAGAGGGTCGGGAATCACAGATAGAAGCTACTGTGTGAACGGCGCAAATATATATCTTTCGAGAAATGGGCTAGAACTCATTTTTAGAGCCCATGTACCAACGAGGTATGGAAAGTACATTTG